ATTGGTTTCTCAGTATTACAGGGGACTTGGGACTAACATGAAATAGTGCCAAACTAAACCTAGGGCTTTGCAGGACCCAATTTGGTGCCTTCCACAGCAATGCTCCAGTAAATAATAGGCAGTCATTTACAGAAAATACATTTAATCCTGCTCACATTTATAGAAATCAATGTATTACTTTTTGTCACAATAAACTACACCTGTTCTGAAAGTTATATTGTTGCCTACATGCCAGCTCTTACTAGACTTGTGCAAAAATTATTTTTTGACAGTTTATCCATATTAGATTCCTTCTAATCCATGCCTACACAAATTGATTGACCGGAGGCGGAGTCAAGCTGCTGAGGCTGCTTGACTCCGCTGCACTAACTGAGAGCTCCAAGATAACAAGTCTATTTTACATTTATTTTTGGCACTATAACCCAATTTGGGTTGTTATTGTTGCACACTTGGGTCTGTGGAAGCAATATGGGTCTGAAGACCAAAAAACAAGAGTGAAAAGCAACAAACATTGGAGACCTCCTGAAGCAAGCGCATGGTGCGACTGGGCCCAAGATGGTCTAGGTAGCGAACTACTCTGAATTATCTGATGACCTGTCCCTTGAGTCTGAAGAAGATGACAAACCTGCCATACAGTCTCCAATACCAGAACCTTCAGGTCTAGACACGTCCTCGGTGACAACAGCTGATCTCAATGAACTTTTGAAAGGAACTCCAAAAAACTATTTTAACCAATGTGGTGATACTTTGCACAGATTTGCAAGGTTTGACAGGCCAACTCTAATGTTTGGAAACTACCTCCCATGACTGTACTCACCAACTCACCTCACTTCAACAGGTAGTACAGGGTCTACAGCAGCAACTCAAAATGTATGATGCCCTGGAAGATAACTTATAGAAATAACTTTAGAATATGGGGCATTTCAGAGAATATTCCAGCGGCAGAACTATCAAATCTATTACGACACCTCCTAGTCACCCAGTTACCTTCAAGGCAGACTAAAGCTCTAGGGCTGGATTGAGTTTTTCCACTCTCTAAATTACCCAGGGTTCTGGCTGCTTTCCATAACAGCAGAGATAAAGCTGCAGTCTTAGCAGCCATCAAGGTGCAAATGTCCTATAACTTTGAATCAATGTTATTTACCTTATATGTAGACCTCTCTGGAGGTACACTAGCATGGCAAAGAACTTCTACAGTTCACATCCCTCGGACTTCCTCAGGACTCCCATAGCCATAAAGGGCCCATGCTGCCAATTCTGTACCCCACGAATTGGATTTGGCAAATGTTGCCACGTTCACTCCAAGGCAGTCCACATCAGACCCATATGCTGCAGTTACAACGTAAATCTTTCAATGTTACACAATGTCCTAGCTTAATAAGTTAGATTCAAAAGCAACAGATGATTCATGCATTCAAGGTTCAAATAAGCAGCTTTATTGGCAAAATGTATAGCAGCAACATTTCGACCCAAAGAGTATTTATCAAGCTTGAAGAAGACCCTTTAGGTCAAAACATTGCTATTGAACATTCTGCTAAAGCTGCTGATTTAAACCTCAAGTGTCTAAACCATCATTTGCTTTTGAAACTCTTGTTTAAGGTTTGGCCTACCTCTGGTCCTGAAGTACCCTGGTCTACATCGGAGTGCAGGGTCCCTCCACTTTATCTACTTAATAAGTTAGAAACATAGACATAGAATGTGACGGCAGGTAGGAACCATTCGGCTCATCTAGTCTGCCCAATTGTCTAAATACTTTCATTAGAAAGAATGAAATCTAGGATAGCCTTATGCCTATCCCACACATGATTAAACTCCTTCACTGTGTTAACCTCTACTACTTCAGCTAGAAAGCTATTCCATGCATCCACTACCCTCTCAGTAAAGTAATACTTCCTGATATTATTTTTAAACATTTGCCCCTCTAATTTAAGACTATGTCCTCTTGTTGTGATAGTTTTTATTATTTTATATATACACTTCTCCTTTACTGTGTTAATTCCCTTTGTATGTATGTATGTTTATCTTTTGTTCCAACGTTTTATACTTTATTTGTTATACTGTTCCAATTCATCCTTAGCTCTCAGATTAATTGTTTTAAATACAAAATGTTTACCCCCCACCTCAAAATATTACAAATAGCTAGTTTTATAGATTATTGCTATAGCAAGGCCTAAAATGTATGTGCTCCTCAAAACATTCTCTATCATCAAGTGTTTAACATTATAGAGCTCTTTTCATGACAATACGACCAAAGCTTTTTTTGTGGTATTACATTATTTTAGAGTTTTTCTAGATGTATATTATACCATTCAAGTTCACTCATAATATGACTAAAACTTTAATTCATTGATTGACATGCATAATGCACATTCATATACTTTGTTTGCTTATACAATATTATATACAGTTTGTACATTGTTTATACGTCCTTGCGCAACCTGTTTGAGGATTGAACCAAAAATAAAAATTTAAATTGTTTGTCTGGGATTTATCTGTGAATTCCTATTTAATTAAGTCTAGCCATTACCATACCATGGACACACATCAATGTGTTCTGATAGGGCTGCATCGAGATAGAGGTTGTATTTACTAAGGCAGCATCAGAGTACATTACTAAAAGTTGAAAAATTAAGAAGAAAATACTAACTGCACCACTTTTCTAAATAAGCATCTACATGTACCAAACTTTTTAATTTTAAAAAAGGTAGACAAGTAAAAAAAAAATAGCCCATTAAGAATTGATTTAAAAAGATCTATAGTAAAAAGAAAATATATTAAACGTTCTTGATTTGCTCAGGATTTTTATATGGGAGTCTTCAGGCGCTGGATGAGTTAATACATTCGTTTTTACAGCAGGTTAAAGATTAGTCTGTGTTTTCCATAAGAACGCCACTACATCAGGGAAGACTTGCATCAACACTGTAGACTGTTTCAGTGCTGTAGGGGGTGTGCGTGGGTTTAATTCTCGCAGTGTCTTTGCTTTGAACAAAGTGATGGATCATATTGTGCAGAGATGCCTTTACAGGAGCCACCCACCTACAGTGTGAAAATGTATTCAGTGACACCAATAGCTGGACAACACTCCTAATGGCCCTTGTACGAACTGTAAGCAAGTTTTGAATTGTTCCCTTGGGGACAGATTTACCACTAAACATATAGGCAAAGGCAATATACCATTTGATTACTAGATGTAGGAATAAATGGTAGTTCTGAATAAATAGCAATCATTGGTCAAAGTGGGGCAGTCCCCATGGAAACCATTGAATATTGCACTTGATTGCTTCTTTCATTTATGATATGCAGTTATTTACACAAGTGTTTGGACAAGGCATGTCACTTGTTTTTTTATTTTGATATCACAATGATAGGTTATTAAATGATATATGTTGTATAAAGGGACACTCCAGACCACTAGAGCACTAACCCTTTTTATATTCATTGAATAATATACATAAAAGAGGTGACTATATAACCCACATCAAGACTGGAATAAATCAGTTGGAATGCAGTGAAATTTAACTTTAGAAATTTTGGAAACAAGCTTAAACATATATGCAAATTATGATACATGCGCTCTGTAGGGATAGTTATAATGCACTACAAGTAATCCAATCCAGCAGGAGGGAGGACTTAAAGTGAACCTGTAATGGGAAAAAAATGACTTACCATAAATTGTTCCACATACATTAAATGCACTGTATATCATGGTGTATTCAATGTAAAATATAAAGATTTATTCACTTTTTCTCCATTCCAGCTCTGCTTCGTGGGTGTTACTCCTTGTGTAACACCCACTTCCTGGCCGTCCTCCACTACGCTTGTGCTCCACCTCTGTTCTTCTTTGATTTGCCCACCTTAGGAGTCATACCCAAACAGGGCAAATCTCGTCAGTGACATCAGAACACTGGCTTTGTTGCCATCGTGCCAGTGTTGGAACGGAGTGAGGTCACATCACTCCACTACTATACTCCCCAGTTGGTAGAGCAACCACAGCGCATGCAGTTGGTTGCTACAGGAGGAGACAGAATGGACTCCCTTGTCGGTCAATGTCTTGTCAAGCCGGGGCATTGACTGACATTTAGGAGAAAAAGCTATTTCTAAATGGGTTTTTCTTCTAATCTATACATTTGCCAGAAAAAATGCAAGCACAATGTATAGGTAGAATTTTATGCTCAATCTAATGAGCATAAATTGTTTGGGGCATAAAAGGTTTAATGATCTCCACTGAGCTAACCAAACCAGGAAGTAGCAGGACCAGCTCTCTGATTGACAGCCAGGGAGTGTTATAAGGTTAATTTATAAAAGTGGCACTTTCTATTGAAATCTGCACTTTTGTACATTAACAAAAGAGAACAGACTTCACACATAAAGCACTTCAGCGAGCAAAAGCACTTTAGGTGTGTAGAGTGTCCCTTTAAGTAACTAACATTTGGCAAATTTAGCTGGCACATATGTTTTCATGCAGGACTTGTCCTTAAAGACTGACCCGTCAAAAGAACACATACTGCGGGGGCGTGGCAGACCGTCGAGCAAGATGGCCGCATAAGAATCTACTCCGGCACATGGGCTCCACATTTATCTCTAATTCCAAGCAGAAACCATAACACAGAACACCGAACATTATGGCACAAACTAAAGCAAAGAAATCCACCACGAAGACGGACAAAATGACCTTTTTTGGCCAAAAATCAGCGTTTACTGAGGCCACGCAGACCGCGCTCCAAGATGGCGCCGAGGACCAGGACACAGACCTCACCTGCACAAACACAGACGGATCTCGTATGCCAGACTGCCTCACGAGAAGCCACTTCGAGAAGGCCATGGAGAGCATGTTGGCAAACCTAATTAATAACTGGAAGACAACGGCGGATCAGATCCGACAGGAGATGAGAGACCTATCCAGCAGGACCTCCCGGGTGGAACAGCACTGAAAAAACTTGGCCTCCATACAGGCCGACACAACAGGAAACATACAAACCTTACAGCACCAAATGGAGAGCATGGAAGCTCGAATGGCAGACTATGAGGTTAGAGCACGCCGGAACAACCTGCGGCTGCGGGGAGTTCCGGAATCCATCCTTCAAGATGAACTGCCAATTTTTGTAAGAGGCCTTCTACATGCTTACGCACCCGATATCCCGGCAGACATGCTCCTAGTTGACAGGGTGCACAGAGTCCCGAAACCCAGTTACTTACCTGACTCCACGCCCCGCGATGTCCTCATTAGGGCACACTTCTACCATATTAAGGAACTTATTCTCAAGACGCATCGTAGTAAACCAAACCCCCACGAGGAATACCCCACGGTGCGCATTCTGGCAGACCTCTCCGCAGCAACCCTTAGGAAAAGAAGAGAATACCAGCAAGTCACGACGGAACTGAGAAACCGAGGGCTCAGGTACAGATGGGGATTTCCCACTAAATTAATCGTCACACGGAATGGCGACACGAAAATCCTATCCAACCCTGAGGAGGGCATAAAGACGCAAGCGGAGTGGGGCCCACTCTGCTCCATACCTAAAGACACTCAACGTTCCCTTGGACAAGGCCGCAGGTCACAGGCGGACTAAATACTAAGTACCAAGAACTGCCAACCATGAGACACCGCAAGTGTACTGCATTTAGCTCATGACTAGTAGCTACCTTCTAACAATTATTATCTCATGTTTTGCTATTGTTTTTGTTTAACCCTTAAGCTGACAAAAGTCCTCATATATACCACAGCACTCACCTATTGGCCAGCAATGCAGGATAAACTGCATAGGCATGCTACACAGTGGCAAGATCTCGATCAGGCCCCCACACCCAGGGCAATCTGAACTTGAGGTCCCATAACGAGGGCAGGGAAACCCCCACCAAGTATGCTCCTATACCTAAAATGCGCATTTTGAAAAAGCGTAAAATACAACCACAGTTTATTTTGTATTATTTGTTATTAGTATAATTGAAACTTACAGCAAGGTTCCTTTAAGTAGACAGGAATGATGGCGCTGGCCCTCCAACACAGAGGTGGAGGGCACCCACCTTCAGAGGGGGACACTCCATCTCTTATGAGGCGACACAAGCCTCACAGAACCCAGGAAGCTAACATATCTCTCCAAGGAGATTAAGCCCTGAGGCGGCAACCCATACCCACTCTCTTCACGCACAAACCAGAGGCCCTTCTCGCAGGAGCTGCCTACCCAAGGTGGGGACCTGCCGATAACCTCAAAGCAACTACCCCCGAAACAATCCTGCACCCAGCCGCGCTCAAACCTCACATTTATCCCACCTACTCGTTACGTAATAACTCGGTAGTCAGCACTCAACTTTAATTCCACGAGGCACTGGATACTATAAATGTTAAATGTTTGATGTTCATAATTTTGCTCTGATATTGCACTGTTTATGTTATGAATGTTTCTGCATACCTCAAAAATCCATAATGGAGCCCAGACAGCCACCCGACTGGAAGTCTAGACTCCCACTCCCACAACAAAAAAACTCATACTGGTCCATAGCATGGGAAACCTGGGACAAACACAAGCCTATTCAAAGCGACACTTAAGCAAGCATTATGGACACGTACCGATGACCTCCTGACTGGAGGCAACAATACCTATACAGAATCAAGCCCAAAACTCAGCCACAATGACATCTGCCTTTCCACTGAAATTCTCTGTTCCCCCCCCTTCCTGCCTTCCCACCTTTCCCAGACCAACTAAGGACACTCACACAAACCACCGCACACGAGCCAAAATCCCAAGAGCACCCCATCAAGTGAATTACGCAGCAAGGTGACATTAGGCGTCTTGCTACAGAAAACCAAATGCTACCTTCAAAACACAAAGCTAAACTAAAAGTAAACGACTCACTGGGAAAATATGACTGTCCAAGACGTTATGTAAACTGACAATGCTGCTACCAAAATGCCGACCCAAAACAGGGTTCCCCCTTCCCCCTTGTATTATTCTGTACCCCACCCTACTCGCAAATGCATTAAAGATGTAAGAACTGCAAACTTTACCCACCCCCTTCTCTTCTGTATCCCATTGGTTTATGTTTTATGTTTAAAAATGACAAAATAAATAAAAATTGTCAAATTAAAAAAAAAAAAAAGAACACGTACTGCAAAGCACAAAAGACTGAGAATCAGTATATAATGGGACCCTGACCAAGGCATTCTTGATGGCAGCTACCAATTTTAAATGAATTCCTCACACATCTGCATTGAGATGGTTAAATCTTATTTAGAACCTTATGCTGTTGGCTCCCTGATGGGTGCTCCACCCTATCTAATTGAAAATGCTTAATAATACTATGCACTCTCACTCTTCACTTACACCGACAGGTTTACAAAGGACGCACAATGAGGAATGTTACCCTGTTCTACATGTAGTTGTGTTCATTCTCCTCTCCACTATGTACTTTGTATCTGCAAGCCAGTGATACTTCATGATACAAAACTGTCATTGTAATGATTAATATGCCTCGTGTACGGTAGAAAATGTAGAATATTAACAATGTGCTTGTTTAGATATACACTTCTTAAAGGTATTTTGTTATCCCCATTTCCAAAATGGCTTGTGAAACATGTGTTTTTTTATGAACGGGGAGCTACTAATTGTCATAGAGGGTCAGCTGACTGCCCTAAGCTAATCAGCTCACCCCTGCCTGCGGTTGTCTGCTTTGAAGATTTTTAGAAAGTGGATGTTGGAGGGGCAGAGCAAAACAGCATGGGAGAGGAGATTTTGCATTTAAATTCCTCATGAATGGCCAGGAATCTCCTGGCACCATAACAACTATATGTCAATGAAGTTGTTATGGTGCCTTGAGGGTCCTTTTAAAATAAATATTTATATTACATGAAAATGTGGTTCAAAATTCACTAAGCAAACTGTGCTTTTAGTTTGACCACTCTGGCCTAACATTTGAAATGCATTTTGAATTCTAAGTTTAGTAAATAACCCTGTATGTATGTTTGTTTTTGACAGAATTACGCATTATTTTTGTCACAATAATCCGTGCACATACAGTGCTAAAAATATGTGGAATTTTGAAGACTATTATGGAAAAAAAGGTTAATTGAAAACTGAGTTGTAACATTTTGGCCTGATGCTCAGCATACAGTAGTTTGGCTATTTGTGCCAATATTTAGCAATCTGATTTTCAATTCATTGCAGTTTAGTTTTAATTACTAAATCCCACTTTTTTGAGAGTTATAAACCCAACACACCTTACTGAGATACAGTGGTCTCTGTAGGTTGTACATGATCCAATAAAGTGATAAATCTATTGAAGAGTATAAGAGTTTAAGGCACTTCATTTTCTGCTTGAAAAACACTGACATGTCTCCCCTGGGGTTAATCCTCAGTGCCTGGCCACCCTTTAAGATAGTTACTGATTGCCAAAAGGAGTTTTCTTTTACGGACTTAAATATGTAAATTCTTGCAGCTTATCAGAAAACCTTTCACTGTCATTCAAATGCAGTTCGATGTAGGCCTTGGAAAAAAGTGATGAGTAAGATCAGTGATTTAGTCTGGTCCTTAATGTGTTCTTTTTAACTTCTTCAGGATAACAAACTCAACACATACCATTATATCATGTCACTTCTGGCATCTCATCATAAAACAGTTAATGGCAGTTAATTCCAGGCACTGAAAATGCAACCGTCTATCTGAAAATCCATAATGCACATTATCACCCAGACTTTCAGGATGATGAACTCTTTGTACAATTTAGCTCTCCTCCTATGTCTCACCTCCTCAGAAAGTGTACAGCAGGGGTGCCCAAAAGGTAGAGATCCCCAGATGTTGTAGAATTACAACTCCCATGATGCTTTGCATGCCTTTAGAATGCTTTAAGCGTAACAAAGCACCATAGAAACTGTAGTTTTAAGACATCTGGGGATCTACCTGGGGCACCCCTGGTGTAAAGAGAATTAACCCCTTAAGGACACATGATGGAAATATTCCGTCATGATTCCCTTTTATTCCAGAAGTTGTGTCATTAAGGGGTTAAATGGTAACTCCATACAGTGGTTATGCCATACCTCCCATACAGTGGGACAACTACAGCAGTTGAGAATTGGGATGCCAGTGGGAGGGAGGCATAGGGGACAGGCCAGTGACACAATCATTGTCACTAACTCCACCCACAAATGGGCTGACCCACCCACCGAGGTAATGGCAGGTCAGTATGGTGTGGTCCTGCCCACTGAGGGCAGGACATCCAGTGAGCACTGTTTCAATGCTTCCCGCAGGGTCTAAGTGCCCTGAACATAGCATTAGTGTGTCTAAATTGGGGTGGTTGCGAGGCATGCATTATACAGTCAGGAGTGCATTGGCACCCTCCCTTTGTAAGTAGTCAAATCATTTTAGAAAAGTTTGACTTCTCACTTAGGTTATATTACATCCAACAGAGAACGGGACGCTTTATAGCTCAGCTAAACCCAGTGGTAAAGGGCTTTGCTCATTGGCTGAAATTGATCTGCTGAGCATTCGGCTCTCTGTTGGATGTAGAGCTGGCAAGAAGCAGAGTCTGGCGAACCCCAGGTAAGAAGTCTAAACATTCTAAAAAACAGTTGTTCTTACTTAAAATTGGGGGTATCAGTGCACTATTGGTACCAGTGGGCTGTAGTGGTTATGGCACAGGAAGTAAACCTTTAAATCGGACCTTCATGGGGGCAGAGCCTGACTGTATAGCTGGTCAGACGTGCTTTGACTGAGCTCCGGGAACAAACTACTAAATCTGCCTAATTCACAGAAAACTCGCTGTCTCCCTCTTGACAGTCACACTCTATTAACTTCTACGAGCTCCTGTGACAACGCTCCTGGGGCAGATTTACAAGTAATCAGTGCCTATATGTCCAGGTACAGTTGCGGCCTACGTGAGATGGGAGTGGGGAGAGACAGTCACTCTCCTCGTTCCCAGGTCAGCAAAGTGGACCCACCGTGCTTCTACCCCACCGCCTTTGGACTGAAGGGGGTTATCCTGGTCCCCGCTGGTGTTCTGACCCACTCACCTCTGCTAATTTCCGCAACTCTCGTGGAGCTGTCTCCCGCACATGATGTGCTAAGATGGCCACCGATGGGAAGCCCCCAGCCCTTTCAACTTTTAATCTATGGGCCGCACAGGAGGAGAGGCTCAATCAAGCTTTTGCAAGAATATCGGAGCTATTTTGGCACAGAATGCAGCATCATGCGAAGAGATTCGGCACTGTTCCTCATCTCCAGTCTGATCCTCCAAACAAAGGCCTCGTGCTGTGACTTGCTGGGAAAAGCCCAAAATCAGTACTAGTAGTGAAGAAGCAGAGGCGGGCACCTCGGAAGGCGCATAAGCGTCAAAGACTTGATCCCGCTATGGATCCCTATCTTCCTGGGCTATGGTCCAAATTGGGAAAGCTCCCTGCGCACATCTCACACCCTCGGAAGGCCACAGCACTGCGTATAGGAAAGCAGTCAGTTCAAGGGCCTCGAGACCAAGCCCTGGTCATATTCCTCGACAGGACCTGTGAGTCTGATGCCGTGGACTATGCAAAGGCCTGGGGCTGATGGGATACAGCAATGTGGGACTTGAGTCATCAACATTACCGGAGCAGTGCCCATAACATGCTGGGTAGCGACAAACTCTCTTTGCTCCTATAGATACAGCTCTCTGCCTTCTTGCTGAGGAGTTTTTAGATTCCTCTTCTCCATTTGTTTTGTAATATCTTTTACCGTTTTACCATACAGCACCCAGTGGTATTACTGCCATCTAAGCTAGGCACCATGCCTCTGCTATGCTAGTTTTCTCCTCTCTGGCTTAGGCAGTTAGATTACTTCTAAAATTCAGAATTTATTATTATGTTTTCTTTTTTGTTTTTATTTTAATTTCTCATCATCAATAACTGTCAGGTAGAAAGGCATACAAAATGCTTTTCTGTTTACCCCCTATTGACATGACTGACACCTTGTCGTATGTGCTAACCACCAATCTGTACAGTCACCCACATGCCATATTCTACGGTCATTTATATGCCAATCCTTAAGCATGTATAATCATAACTTATCACTGACAGTATGTATTGCACAATTTCAGACCCAGTATATGTACCTTGTCAGACATGCGAGACTAGCCTGCAAAAGCTTGTAAGTTACTCGTAGTTTACACACTATGTTAGCCTAGCTTGTGTCACTCACTATTTTATATTTCTTACTCACTGGCTTATCGCCTATAAACATGTCTATTATAACTAAAAATGTGCAGTCCAGTCGTATGCCATGATATTGTGTTGATTTAACATGCTTGCAAAGGCTTGTATTTGCTGCTGTGGCATTCCAGGTCAGTTTGTACTTCTATGCACACAAACAAACATAAATAATTTAAAGAAATAAAAATGGAAATTCACTTTGAATTCTCTCTTTAGTAAATAACTCTGTGTATCTTTTGACGTAATTAAGCATTATTTTTTGCAGAAATAATCCATGACCATACAGTGATAGACATGCACAGGATTTTGAAAAACACTGTTAAAAAAAACCCCAAAAAACCCCAAGGTATTGAAAACTGTATTAAATAGTGGAGGTGATGAGCAGTGCCTTTCAATGGGGGGAATTCAAGGGCACTCGACACCAAAACAACTACATTGTGCTGTAGTGGTTATGGTGCATGGGGTGCAGTTCACTTGAATTTTAATTTCAATTGTGATAACTAAATAACATCCAACAACACACATGTGGATGCCAGTTTTTTAAGCTTTAAATCAAGTCTGGTTCTACCTCCCCACTCTCTCTTTTCGAGTAATACATACCGATTCGTCCGCTATTTATGATATTTCTACTCAGATACATGGGGCTACATTTAGACATATCCAGGTCCACTCAATTAAATATTACACTAAAAGATAACTTGAAAAAAATTCCTACCTTTGCAAGTGGAGGGGAGTTTGTAGGTGTACTGTGTACCTGAGCAGTGTGCATGGGGTAATTGATGTGGGGAAAAGAGAGAAAATAAATAAAAATTGATCAATGAATAGAATCACAAATAAAAATCTAGATTAACAATTTCATGGTTTCAACATTTTACATGCTATTAAATGTCTAGTTGCATGAAAAACATGTTTGCATGCCTCCCCACTGACTCAATGGGCAGTTTCCTATCATACTAATTGTGTGTTTCGAACAGCACTAGCACATCATTAGACACACTTGTGTTGTGCTGAGGGCCAGAGGAGGCTCTAGAATGTGTGGGGCCTTATGCCAAGCTTGAATAACAGGTCCTGTTTGAATGCGCTCACAGTGACCGCAAGAGCGAGGCCTTAGGCAGTTGCCTAACTGTGCAAATTATAGAGTCACCTCTCCTGAAGGTACCATGCAGAAAATGCTTCTTTGCATGCTCTGCCTTGAATGAGGCTGGCCAGAGGGGTGGGCTGTCAGTGTGCATTCGTGCAGGCTGATATGTCATTTTTATGGGTAGGCCCGTCTCTTTTCTAGCTGGCTTGGACATTTTTTGGCATCATCAGTGATGCAAGTTGTGTCACTAGCACACTCACCCAAGGACCGCTAACCCATGCCTAGTTGTAAACAATCCAAAGTTGGTAGATATGTAAATTTGTATTTTAAAGCACCACTAAATAAAAAAATTACAATTCATAATGAATATATATATATATATATACATATAACATATGCATTTTAAAATTCTAAGACTCAATCACTAAAGTGTGGATTGTTGGGACTTCAAGTGAATTTCAAATGTTAGGCCAAAACAGGTAAACTGGATAAATTCTCCAAACCAGCTATATTTCTATCTCAGCTAGATAATTCATCTGCAAAGGACCAAATTGTCTTAAAAAGACAGTACAATATCAATATTAAAGGCAAAGACTGTGCACACAAGGGTTATAGCAGAATGTTAAATAAATGTGAAAGTATGAAACATCTTTTTTACATTTTGCTTTTCTGTCTGTGACTATGTAATACAAATGAGTGTCAAAGCATCATGGGAGTTGCAGTTTTTTAATAGCTGATGGGTTAACTGTTGGCTGAACCCGAGATAAGAGCCTGCTTTACACAGTGTGATCTGACACTGCCTATGTGCCCTGTGCTTTTCATTCAGTCCCTCATTGCCCTCAGCCTACATAAACAGGGCTGCATATTTTACGTTTTGTCCATGGAAAAATGAGTAGTTACTTTAGGAAGCCTACATTTCTACTGATCTAAAACAACAGTGCAGTGGTTGAAGAGGTGGGAATGATGATAGTATTTAAAACAATTGAAAACGGTGTTCATTTCAATGGCACTGACATTCTGAATAAGGGGAGTCGACAGAGGTTTGTGTGGGAAGACTCCATCAAACTGGCAACTTGATGGACAGAAAGACAACAACCTACAAAAGTGCAGGACAGTGATAATAATGGTTTTAAAGATGTACCTCACAAATTGGTGTTACTCACTAAATTATGATTTCTAGATAAAAAAAAAAAATCTTTATATCTGATCTCTAAAATGATCCGAACTGCCCTTGGAGAAAAACTCAAGTTGTGGAAAGCTCCTGAAATAATCAGGAATAAAGTCGGGAGAAATTCCTGAATAAATCCAGAGTGTAACAAAAAAAGTTAAGCCACACAGCGAGGAATTGATTAAAATTATTTAATCAATAGGTAGATTAAATAGAACTGGGATTCCTTTCACCATCTTTAGACCGGGAGCCTGTTAAAATATATTCCCTTACACATTGCTCAGCAGTGTGAGGGTTAATGAAAAAGTTTCCTTCAGACCTGCTAGTTACTCAATTAACTTTTACATTGCTGCCCATCATATAATCGCAATGATTCACATTTTATATTAAATATTTTAACATATTGTCTGCTGGCAAGTAGATATCTAATTTGCCTCTGAATGCCCAAATTGGTGTTTGCTAAATGTTTAGATATCAATATTTGTTTTAATAGAATTTGGAGATTTTGTTTGGTGCATATTATTTAACAGATACCAAACTGGCCTAAAATGTAATTGGTACTCTGTGTACCATAACTACTATAACTCATTGTAGTGGTTATGGTACAATGCATCTGTTGGCGCTGTCCCTAGTTTTCTGTCAATAGGTCTAATGCTCCCCCAGCCTATTTATGCCATCCAAGATTTGACAGATTTGCACTTCGAAATACAAAAGTGTAATTTCTGCCTTTGTGTACTAGGGGAGAGCCCTGCTCCAAACCGTTGTGCCACAAAATGAAAGGATTGCATCCATAGTAGCTCCCAACATAGTCTGTAATCATTACAATAAGCTGCAGTGGTTATAGTGCTTTACATGTTCCTATCACTATAGCACTATAGCACCACTATAGCACCTACAGGTTAAAGTGTATCCATCCACTAAACAGTGAGTTGCAGTGGACTGATAATTGAGTTGCAAAATTAAGATAGATATTAGCACAATATCAGATAAGATTACAAGTTCTTGCATATAATAGCACAGAATCTCCCAAGCTGGGTGAAGAGTGGACACAGCATAAAAAAAGAGCATTAAACCAAGATGACGTTTATAGACTCAGCTGCCAAAAAGTAAAAGTAAAAAAAAAAAAATGAATGGAAAAAAAAAAGCCACTAGAGAAACCTCAGAGATGCTGAGCTCCCAAAGTAGCCTCTCTGGATAGCAGCCTCTAATGCCAGTGTGATAGCATATTCCAGGAAGGGGAGAGGCAAAAGAAGACTGTGTGGGATCTGGACAAGTAAGACCTGCATACTGCAAACAGAGGGGACAGAACCTGAGGTCTGTCATAAAACATGCATCAATGACATTGATCTGCCAAGCCTTTAACAAATAATTCTTCACTGCATAACCCAATGTCCGTTACCTTCTGCAAGCCGAGTTATTTTATTCTGTAGTCTTTAGAAAAAAAGAAAAAGAAAGAAAAGAAAAATATACAGTAGATGAGTTGAGTTATAGAAGGAACAAAAAGCTCCCCCAGCTTTGATTTTTTTTTTCAGTAAAATCTGAAGATGTGGGGGTGGGAGGATTGTCCCCTCTGCGTTGGATTTAGTGGCTGTCATGCAGAGAAGGATTGGGGAGGAATTGTACAATGACTGAGCTGGGCTGTATGGACATTAAGGGTATTAATCTCTCTCCCCACCTTCTTTTACTCTGGCCTTCTCTGATGGAAAGACAGCTCCTGACCGCTGTGTCACCTACTCAGTAGGGACAGAACATGTCCCCTGGTCTTCATTGTTAGGATAAGCCGATGTCTGCTTATTTAGTGCTTACTGGGATCTTCTTCATAACTCCCTAATTTGGATCTTCATCCCATCTGGTCCTGAAGTCAGGGATCCCTCTCCTCTCACTACTAAAACTCCTTCCTCTTGGTTTGTACCAAGGATACGAGAAAAAAGAATTCCATCAGGGATATATTTATCAAGAAAGAACTATTTCACTTTGAGTTGCCCGATTCCCGGTGTCTCCAGTTTTGTAGATCACGTTCCTTCTCAGGTGAGATGAACAGGTCTCAGTGGTGAACAGAGCAGAACCATCTCCACCAAGGATCCCCGAGCTCCTGACACCTGCTGTACCCACCTGCAGTTATCACCATCATGAGGATCCTCACATTTTTAGCTGGCCTCAACACTCTGTGGGTTTTAGCCTTTTCTTCTCTGTCCAATACACTGGCTGTAAATAACAGCGGGAAATGGTGGTGAGTTATTTATATGAAATAATAATACATGCTCTATAAATATCATAATAATAATAATAATAATAATAATATATGATATACAATAATACTGTGAACCTGATATGACTGAGATACGCTGCCTGAGACTCTAAGTTGCAGTCACAGTTACTGTGCATGTTAACTGCAGCTTACATTATTCACCGACATGTACCGATATCTTGATTGAACAGTAATTGTCCCTATAGCCTCTTTTAGCAATAACTCGATCCAAACTGCTTCTTCAGTCAGCATCTCCTACATTCACTGCTTTTCCACTGCACACACTGGCATTTGCTATTCTGCACCCACATTGATGAAATGTTACCTTAACCACATTTAATTGCATCTACCTGCATTGTAAATCACAAAGGTGCTCTCCCGGGGTACCAGACACTGGGCTTTGAACCTGCGGCACATGTTGAATAATATTTACCTTTGATCTGCCATAAAGATTACAGACATATAAACTCCCCTAATATTACCTGCTTATTACCTGCAAAACTTACATTCATCTAACCTTATCCAAATGTAGTGTGCAGGGACATTTCCTTCACCTGCAATAAAATTACCTGAAATACTATTATGTGATAACAACTGCACCTGCCTAATATTACTTTATCATACTGGACTTACATTACCAATTGGCATATAATATGCCGCAACCTTACTAACAAGAAATCGCACTCACATTAGGATGCCTAAAAGGTAAATTTCAGATGTTGTAGAACTAAAACTTCCATGATGCTTTGCATGCATTTAGAATGACTTTAGAATGACAATGTATCATGGAAGTTGTAGTTTTAAAACTTCTAGGGATCTACCTTTGACCACCCCTGCATTACCCCTATCTGAATGGCACTGACATAATGCTTGAATTTAAAGTGTTTTATACCTTCTTCTGCACTCACACTTTTTCATTTGCCTACCTATAAATTATATTATGTTAACTATTAAAAATAAAAAATATCACTGATTGCTCTATATGCCATTTACATCCAGAACTGACTATATAGGAAACGTGATCATAAGGACACATACGTAACAGCATAATTCATACTTTTTCTCTTTTTTTCCATGAAACAACCTTCATGTTTAATGTTAAAAGTATAATCTGAAAGAAATGTTAAGAATTGATGAATTACATCTGTTATATGAAAAATTAAGAAATCATGTATAACTGCTATCCTGCATCCTGCATGGGGTTTATTCACTAAATGGGGATTTGACAATTTATATGTAAAATATTGAAGTTGTAATTTTTTGCTTTTCTTCAATTTGGCTATTTTGCAACATCAATTGTCAACTCATCACAGCACATTGTTTAGTAGTGGGAGAAAAAAAAACCTGGTTTATATGCGTTATAGTTTTGTTTATATAATTATTTTGTAGGCACAGAGTTAGTAAATTTGATTTGTATATAAATGGTATCCAAGACGTACAATCACTACTAATCTAAGCTGCAATAGTGCTGACAGCCTAAGTTAAAGTCATTACACATTAACAGTTATATTAACTTGTACCCACAACGCACCCCTGCTATGAATCATTCAAAATGCATTTCCTTCACTTCACTCCATCAATCACAAAGCACACATCCAGCCAAAACCACATAACAAAACTCAACCCTACTCATCCTTAGCCATAGACGTAAACGCTACCACACAATGTAAACACCACAGAAACAAGCCCAAGACGAACACTGAGCAAAAAAAACAGCAGCACTGCATTTAAGTGTACACCTGCAAGTAAAGCTGTAATATACTAACAGGGCGGCTAATTTGTAGTTGTCAAAACCAGTCCCTGTCATTTTTAGTTGTATGCACTATAGATTGACTACAACAGTAGGGACAGTAGGAACGTATATTCCGTGGCCTTATTTTGAGATACAGGTTGTATCTTCACACTTCATTGAATAAACCCCTGTGAGAGGTGGCAGTGGAATTATAAACTTCAGATAAAAATAGCTACACTGGAAAAACATCTGATTAGGAAATATTTGGATATAGTGGCCTGACATTTGCAAAATCCTTTGTCAATACTACACAATACCCAATTTGGTTAATTAAACCTCTTTATATATGCGTTGTGGTCCTTTAACACTGAATTCTTTATGTTAGTGGACTTACGTTTCGTATCTCAACTGTTTGTGCCCTACAGGGGTATAATAAATGTGGCCTCCACTGGCAATGTCCTTCCTGGATCGGACAACGCCCCAGTTCCTTTGGTGCTGGATCCAAGTCTGCAGCTTTTAAGTAGGAAGCAAAGACGTCTAATCCGCCAGAACCCTGGAATCCTGCAGAGTATCACCCGTGGGCTGCTTAGTGCTATACGAGAGTGCAAGTGGCAGTTCAGAAATCGGCGCTGGAATTGCCCCACTGGGCCTGGCAACCAGGTGTTTGGAAAAATTATTAACAGAGGTTAGTGCCAGGTGTGAATATTCACAACACAGCAAGACAACTGATTAAATCAATTCTGAGCAGGATAAAAGAGATAATAGATTTTTATATTCTGTGGATCTACAGAGTCTACAGAAATGTTCAACTCAGAAATAAATTATTATTTATCATTATTATTATTATTGGCATTTATGTAGCATCAACATATTCTGCAGATCTTTCCAATTATAGAAATGGTAAATAATGAGGGCATTTCTCAATGACCTACAAACTATGAGACTTGGTTTCTGTTGTTGTGAGTACATTCTAGTAGAATGTGAATTTTTTTTATTGTGGTGGCATTACAAGCATTAACAACCATCTAGCATATGGGTACTATATAGACTACCTCTGAAATTCGACCAGTGTAGATATATGGATTGATGACCCAATTGCCATGGTTGCTAATCTGCAGGGGGCACTGTGTGAGCCAAAACAAGACTCCTACAAAGGATCCTAACAATATGTGAGTATTGTGTGTTTTGAATTGGTAGGGTTAGTCTTCCCCTATTTACTGTCACTAGACAATGATTGTTGCGCTGTAATTGTTGATATTATTTTGTTATAATAGAAAAATATATGGCGTATACGCGCCTCAAAAATCATACATACATAAACCTTTAGGAAATACATAGAAACATAGAAACATAGAATGTGACGGCAGATAAGAACCATCTGGTCTGCCCAATTTTCTAAATACTTTAATTAGTCCCTGGCCTTATCTTATAGTTAGGATAGCCTTATGCCTATCCCATGCATGCTTAAACTCCCTTACTGTGTTAACCTCTACCACTTCAGCTGGAAGGCTATTCTATGCATCCACTACCCTCTCAGTAAAGTAATACTTCCTGATATTATTTTTAAACCTTTGTCCCTCTAATTTAAGACTATGTCCTCTTGTTGTGATAGTTTTTCTTCTTTTAAATATAGTCTCCTCCTTTACTGTGTTGATTCCCTTTATGTATTTAAATGTTTCTATCATATCCCCCCTGTCTCGTCTTTCCTCCAAGCAAACCTGTTGCAAACCTCAGGATAAAGAAAACAGACAATAATAGTGCAGTACAATATGGTACAGTGCAAATAATGTTGGTAGTAGCTATAAAAAAAACACTCACTTATAATAACCAATAAACCAAGAATAATTATCCTACAGAATTCTTTCTACTGGGCACTGCATCTACTGTACAATTGAAATTGTGGTCAACAGCATCCAAAGTGCCTTATTTAATTAACAATTTGTTCCCCCAAATCTGTAAGGTTTACTTACTCTTCCAAATTATTTTTACTTTTTGCATCATTGTATAACTATAATGTGTTGATTTGGTTTTTCACCACCTTCTTCACAATAATAAAATATGTTGTTAATACACTACCGTGGAATTCTGGAGATCTGTACATTTTAGGCCAAATGAGGCATAAGAGAAAATATCTGCATCTCAGTTAGTTTTTAAAGCAGTTATTTTATCCAAAATATGCTCTTTGCTTGTCAATATTCCACAGTTCTTCTGGTTTGGTGAAAATAAACCTCAGGGTGTCTGTGCGCATTTAAACATGTTCTTTGCCAACACAATCATCAAACTGTGACTTAAACATACCCTGTGAAACCTACCCTGGGACACCCACCAGTTTATTCTTAAATAGGGCCAATCTGTTTTTCTTTCTTACAAATCCTTGTTGATTGTGATGTCCAAAATAGAAAAGTGCTCTAAAATTAAAGCACTAGAAACACAAACATCGAAAATTAAAAATAGTTACTACCAAAGAACAAGTGTGCTAAAAACAAGAAAATATACATCAAAATATGGGAACAAGACAAGACAAAACGTCATGAATAAATTACAAAAGTTAATATTGAACATATAACTTGCATCTGTTGGATCCCGACCAGCCAAACCTCTTATATTTTACTATGGTTAACCACTTCTGACAGGTTCAATACCGACTTTGAAACCAAAATAATGTGTAAAGAAATATAAAAGATTAAGACATTTAACTGCCAAACAAATATAAATGACATTACAGTAACCCGTCTTTGCATCTGTCACAGGTTGCAGAGAGACAGCATTTGTATATGCCATTACCAGTGCTGGAGTGACTCATTCGGTGGCCCGTTCCTGTTCTGAAGGTTCTGTTGAGTCCTGCTCTTGTGATTATCGGCGTAGAGGGCCAGGGGGACCCGACTGGCACTGGGGAGGCTGTAGTGACAACATTGAATTTGGCGGTTTAATTGGAAAAGAATTTGTAGACTCCAGTGAAAGAGGAAGAGACCTAAAATATATGGTGAATCTGCACAATAACCAGGCTGGAAGAATGGTGAGTGAGAGAGAATTAGCATACAAGCCTTTCATTTTTAGTAAAATAAAGAGAATAATTTAAAGCAGAACAAACTGTTCCATGGGGATTTTTGTGGTTGTTCTAGATTGTCATTTTACAAAATAACAATGTATATGAAATACAATTTTTTCGTGCCAACCTCTCTACATGAGAGGTTGTAAGTGAGGTATCCCAGGTGCAAAAGATATTTTGACGAATCCTGCAACATGTGTGCATATGAAAGATCACAGGACTGCATACTACTTCCATGATCTATAGCATGCCTCAGGGGCAGATTAAGTGAAAAACAAATGGAGGTCCAACAAAATAGTTGATGTCTAATTGATGACATATAGGCATGGCATGGGAGGATGGAATTATATTATTTTAATCACTATTATTAGTCTTATTCTAAAAAAAACCACAGCACACAACTAGGTAGTTTTGCAGTAAATATTATTTTATATATAATCACATTAAAGGTTTATTGATAGACAGGTTTCATACAGAGAAGCACGGTGGTGTCACGAGAAGAAAAAGTGAATTAATTTTAAACCATTTTAAAAAATCTGTATATTTTCTTGTAGTTCTGCCAGTTCAATGTACAGCAAGTTAAACTCTTCAATTGGCAAATTCCCAAAAATATTATTTTAGTCTTTTTGTACCCTGGAGATTTTTACAACACATTGAAATGTTCAAAATATAACTGTTATTAAACTAGTGTATTATACCTTTACTTAGTCCAGGCATAAACCTTTATAATGTCCTATCTGACTATTAAAGAACACCATTGTTTGTTTTGTAATCTTAAAAAAAGGTTTAGAGTGGTCCACTTTCTTAAAAGAACACACCAGATCAATAAAGCACATTAGCTTGATGTCCTCTTTTTTTCATTTTGGAAATAGTGCAGATTTCAATAAAAATTGACACTTTTATAAATTATGCTGGTTACACCCCCTGGCTTTTCACGCAGATAACAGGTCCTGTTACTTCCTTGTTTGGTTAGCTTACTAGCACTGAACTTGCAAAGACTTTTCATTGAACTGCATTGGGAAGTCTGTGATTGGACATCCACAGAACATCTGGGTGGGGTTAAAAGAGGAGGGCTTGCAAAGGCAGCAGACAAGAGATCTGCAGATTTTGTAAGCAGTTTTTAGATATAACTCCAATGAAAAAATGCTTAATTAAATGCATGCAAGTTTTAATTTTGGGTATATCTACTAAACAGTGATTTTTTTTAACTTTGCATTTGGGCAGTGGAGTGTCCCTTTAAATCTGAAGAGTCTCCTTTCCTGTATGTCTACAACACTAAATTGCAGGTCCCCCATCACTGGTTCCAACTGCCTTATATCAATTTTGTCCGTATTGTGTGCATTGTATACACACGCAGAACTCAGGCTGACCTCTCTCTTCTTAGCAACTGAACAATGAACTGGGAAATTGACAGTAGCTGCAGTATGGCCGCTCTGAATTTACACAGCAGCTTTATGCATACTGTGGTGAGTGAAACTGCAACTAGGGGATAAGCTACTCATCCTGTAAACCTCTGCTAGACAGATATATGGGATAAGAATAGACCCTGCAGCCCAGAATGAGACTTTCCTGATTGGAGCGTATCTTCTGAGTGAGGAAAGGGTCTTCCTAAAGTTGCAGGCAGAAACATTAAAAGCTGCATATGTAGGGAACTTTTATGATATGCAGCATTTAATGTTTTATATCTGTTTATGTGTAGTTTAAAAAAATATATATATATTTATGTGTGCTTATTTTTTAATACAGTTTTTTTGGCCAATGTCATTGAAAAATAACTGCTCCACTAGTTCCTCTCATAAACATTCTATGGTGGTAGTATGTCATAAAATGCACGCTGATTATGTTTATTCTTGTGTTTTGCAGAATGTGCTTGCAGAGATGCGCCAGGAGTGTAAATGTCATGGCATGTCTGGTTCCTGTTCTCTCCGTACATGTTGGATGCGACTTCCTCCATTCCGTTCTGTGGGTGATGCTCTGAAAGACCGTTTTGATGGTGCCTCCAGAGTCACCTACAGCAATAATGGTAGCAATCGGGGGAACTCTCGTAGTGACCCACCACACTTAGAACCAGAGAACCCTACCCATGCCATGCCCTCCTCAAGGGACCTGGTCTACTTTGAGAAGTCTCCTAACTTCTGCAGCTATAATGAAAAAGCAGGAACACCTGGAACCGTTGGTCGTATATGTAATAGCACATCTTTAGGGCTTGATGGATGTGAGCTCCTGTGCTGTGGCCGGGGCTACCGAAGCAGAGCTGAGAAGGTCACTGAACGGTGCCATTGTACCTTCCACTGGTGCTGCCATGTGACCTGCTTGAACTGCACCAGCACACAGATGGTTCATGAGTGTTTGTGACGTCTGCACTGATGCATACACTCAATACCGAGCACTCCTCTCTCCACAAATTGGAATTTAGCAGCACTAACTTTGTTTTTTTCTAAAAGTGACTACAATGGTGAAGATCTTCCAGAAGAAAAAGATTGAGGATTACTGGAAAAAAACTTTCAATGTAAACCAATGTATTCAGTAGTTAGAAAAGAACACTTTACAAGGTGCAGAGACCTTTTTGTTTGCGTTGTCTTCCAAAGTTTCAAATTTTATATTCTCAGTCTGAGACAACACCTCACAAAACTGTATAGAATGCATAAACAAAATGACTGTATTTGTAGGGTTAAAGCACTGATAGTCTTGCACTGACAGATAGTAATCCCCTGTACTAGCCATATGGTTTGGGCCAAACCATGTTAATTATAATACCTCACAACACAATCATAGGCAATATGGAATAAGATGACATTGCTTATTTTTCTGCAAAATACACATTTTGACAAAGCACAGCAATTTTTTTTACACAAACAGATAGGAAAGCATGGCATATGGACGATATTGTATTGAGAATATATGCCTCAAAAGCTTTTGCAACCATACCAGTAATTGTTGTCACAGAAGGCAGTTTAGAGCAAACCATCATTAATATAGCAACAGAAAGTCAATAATTAAAATACATAACTAAATTGCAATTTCAGCTTAGAATTGGGCATTTAGGGGAGACAAATTCTAAAGGTATATAATACAGTAATATGTCATACCTAAAAGTGCAGTTTGCTACTTCAAGCAGTTTTTCAGATATTTTTAAAAATTCAGTCTTCTTCATGTGGACAGCCATTTTCAATTTTCAGCAAATTTCACTGCTTCTACCATCACTAAGAGTAAAATCAATATCTGCTTTTCAAGACAGGAAGGAGATAAAATATTAAGAGAGGTTCATGGAAGAGGAATTTCCGCAACTGGAGTGCCACCAGTTAGCAAACCCCTGGTGAGGAGACATTGTTCCAATGTATCTTTTCTATACAGACCCTCGGTGCAACACGCCAAATAATTAGCATCTCATTTACAAATATAGCAAAATAACAAAATATTTGATTTAAACAAAAAGCACTTTGCAATGACAGTGATCTCTGAATGCAATCTGTTGAAGATTATAACTTTAAATGGTTGTTTGGATATGTAGTGATCTGTAAGGGCATGAAGTTGAATATAGTCTATCTACAAGGCTTGTGGGTTTTATTCACTTAATTGTGAGTTCTGTTGCGCTAATAACTGACTTGCAGAATATTGGTCATGCTGTATCCGTCCTACATTTTGCCAGTATATTGTTAGTTCACCACAACACAGTGCTTAGTAAGTAGCACTCAATGATGTAAAGAATCTCAACATTCCAAATACCCAAAGTGCCTTTGATTGCTGAAATGCTTTGTTTGGGAATAGTGTTTCCTCTTTTTTCTTTTTACAAAAAGTGCAGATTTCAATAGAAATTGTCACATTTTTAAATTCATCTTGTTACATTGCCTAGCTGTTAGATAACAGGTTCTGTTACTTACTAGTTGTTTACCTCAGTGGAGCTAAACTCAAGAGGCAGCAATTGCCAAGAGGACCTGCCTTGCAAAGACTTCTCATTGAGCTGCATTGGGAAGTCTGTGATTGGACAGTCACGGAAAGTCTGTAATAGGGAAGAAGGGGAGGGCTTGCAAAGACTGTAGACAAGAGATCTGCAGCTTTTGCAAGTTGTTTTTAGATATACCTTTATTGAAACCTATTGATACCTAAATACATGCATGTTTTCATTGGGGGTATATCTACTAAATTTAGATTTTGTGTATTTATTCCTTTTTTTTAATTTGGGCAGTGGAGTGTCCCTGTTGACCTCATATTTATAATCCCATTTATTCATGTGCTTAATTTCGTTTGGTATTGCACCATAATGCAAAACATAATTTGGCCCATTAGGTTCACCATAAGTTCCACTAAGCTCCAGTATTGCAGCTCATCTAGTGGAAGAACTAATATATCTACCAGAGCTTTATTCAGACTCTCATGCAGAGATATAGTAAACATAAGTAAATATGCTTATATTTTAATAATAAATTACATTTTTTTTAAATGCAAACATAAGGGCTACTGCAAAAAGATATTACAGTATACATAATTCACAGTGTCCACCTACTCACCTGCATTTTACAGTTTGAGTAGAGTCACGCAATGATTCAATTATTTAAAGTGGTGATTGTGAAGTAAACCGAAAGAAATTTAGATTCATGTACCCATCGTTCTGCATCTCAAAAGACCTGAATATGTGTGTGCCAATAACACTAGATTAAAATGTCCCACTGGGAAAAATATTAGAATGGTCTTACACCAACAAAGGGCCTTTTTCTGCTCTCCCCACATGGACATTGGTGGGAACCAGACTTTTTAAACAAAAACAAAAATGCATTCTTTACACATTGTATGTTGCATATTCAGGATATTAGACCCTAATCTCATATAATAGGCAGAACTGGGGCAAAGTCAGTACCAAACCAAGCGTCAAGCAAATTATAACAAAGCTATGACATCATATTATTTTTCAACATATAAAGTAAACTTTACATTATTTAATCATGCACTTCATTTAACCGCACAGGATCCAGTTATTAATGCTTTTTTAGTGTTACCAGATCTTCATTTGAATTTGTGATGTTTATAAAAAAAATAAAAATACATACTCCAGCCCTATAGTTTATCCAATACAGCCCCGGAGTTTGTATTTTTCATACACATTCCTTATACAGATAAAAATATAACTTAATAAAGTTAATAATAAAAATGTTATTGTTATTCCACTAAATCACTGGCTAATCTCTGCACAAAGCTGGTTATAAATGAACCCAAACTACAGAAGTCTTGCAAGTTTTAAAAATGTAGTAAATGTGTGACTTTATGTATGAGAATTATATAGTCACTTACTTTTGTAAGCATTTTATGTATTTAACACTGGTGTTCTGGCTGTTTTTTATTAAGCACAGTGAGCTTGAACCATGAACCAAGTATGCAGATCATTACAAACTGTAAAGTGTTGTGATTTTGTCTTTCCCAGGGCAAATAGATGTGGCATGTCTTAATGTGTATACATTGAAACAGATACAAAGGTATACTGCTACTTAATTCTTCAGGTTCCTTATACATGAAAAAAAGTTTTTGTCAATAATTTGCATTTCTCTTCAAACTTCCCAGATTAATGAATAATTGTTATTCAAATTATTTCACGACACACAAAACGCTGTTTAGTAAATACACCCAAGTGACTCCTTGTAGTTTTTGTAACACAAAATAGTGCAGCATAGAGCTAACAAACAGCACCGACGTAAAAATTGAACGTGTAAAAATCTATAAGGAGGATGTTTCAAATTTGAATGAATTTTATCACATACATACTCTGAGATCGTATCTGCTATAGGTCAGGACACCTGATCACAAACTAATATTCTATTTTATACCAAATTCATCAATATTAAAAAGAGGCCTTATAGAATATTGCTTATTCTCTTTGTAACTCTTAAACCTACGTAGAACTAGATGGTAAGTAAAATATTTAATTTGGTCATTAAAAAAAAAAAAATGTAAATAGACCCTAATGAGAATATTTTTTGAACAGTGTGAGATGAGAACTGACTTGCAAACTTTAGACTGAAATGGCAATGTAAAAGCATTGTGGTTTATTCTCTAACCATCAAACTGTAGCGAAACAAAAAAATAATTGTAAAATGTAGGCTAGATTCTGAGCTACATTCCTTATTACATATTATTATAGGTATTATTGCCTAGACTTTTCAAAGTCACTACAACTTGATGTTTAATAAACAAAGCCATTATATTGGCCTCATTTTTTGATAGTCATTTCTCAGTTTGCCAGAATTGGTGGTCTAGTGATTACTTTTAATATTTCCACTAATATAAGAGACAAGAAGAATTAAGATTATGATTCATGCATGATTCATAATTCATAATCAAGCAAAATGCATGATTCCTGGCTCCCCTCTCTACCCCCATCCTAAAGCAGTTAGTTAGATTATTCCGCCTATTCTATGTCCATTTTTTTGGATGGTTTATATCTATGATATCACTGTTACTTTGTTATAATAATCTGGCTAAATCAGTCTGCACTGCACAGGTTTACAATACTGCCAAATACATGCCTTATGTTGTTGTTTGTACACAACTATCCTAGAAAGATAACGTGAGAGTTGTATTTTTTAGTCTATACCAATATTATCTGTAAATAGTTCTGCAGCTCTTTTTTTTGTAAATAAAGTATTTATTGTAACTTTTTAATATCTGAGACTTTATTCCTGATTCTTGTTTAATGTTCAGTTTGTGTTCTAGGGATTGTGATTCACAATATAACTCTGGTACTATGGGATGAGACCCTTTCACCCATGTCATTCCAACTCAGCAAACAGCTGGCTTAAGGTGCTGGGAGTTGCAGTTCACAAATATAATATATACAGCAGGTTGTACTTTCATGTTACTGCGTTTGAAAAACGTTATTTACAGAACAGTAATGGCTAATCCATACCTCATCTATATTTGGCTACAAACCCTTTAATAACCAGACACACATTTGGCTGTGTGAGTATTATGGGAGCAACCATTGCTCAACTGCAAAGAAATATGAACCTAAAAGGGGAAGCTCAATAGTTTTGTTAGATTTTAGGGCAGCTTTGTCTTGTATCTTCCCTGCATTTATGTGTGTGGTCACTCAAGCCATGATCATTATGAGTAAAGACATTTCTGTGAGTACAGATCTTCTGACGTGTGGTGTGTCTGCATCTCTGACCATGGGAGGGCACAGCCCATGGAAGGCTGAGATCAGAGAGCTCCAGCTGAGCTGTCCATGGCTATGGTGCTGAACAGCAGCTGGGGCGCATGCGACAGGTGGTGGGGGAGGGGTGTACAGAATGCAGAGAGACAGTGGGGGATCTTTAAGGTTCTTAAATAGAATGTTGGTGCTGTGTTACCCCGGGTGGAGGTTTCTT